GTCCCCCCTGGATAAAATAGAGATGTCAGCATGAATGTGACATTGAACTGATTCCCATCTGCTGTGTGTGGTTTCATTGAAGTGTTCTTTTATTGCTCTGCCTGTCCACTCTGTTCGTTTGTCTCTTTATTTGTGTGTGAAAAGGCAGAATGCTTCCTGTCACAATAGCATCCTGCTGTGATTACCATGCAAATGTATTTCATTAGGATGTAAATGATCAACATAATGATGATTTGTAATTAGAATGTAAATGATGATTATTTGTATGAAGAGGATTGTGACAGCGCTCTGTTGTCTCTCTGACTGACTGACTGATTGAATGGCTGCTCTTTCATTTATCTGCTAACAATATTCTCTTTTTTCCTCCCTCCTCTCTCATTCTCATTCTCTCTCTGTTTCTATCTGTTCTCTCTGCCTGTGGAGTTATAGCAAACATGAATACACATATATGTAATCATCCCGGCACCAGTTTGTATGCCTAAATGACTTAACAGGCCTAAACATTTCTTATGAAGGCTACAAAAACAAAAATAATCTCCATCTACAGAAGCATTTTAGCAACATTTCACAACTAATCTCTGTCTATACTTTTATGCATCAAACATAGATCACATGAATGATCATGTATACGATTGGTAATTCAACCCAGCCATGACAGGTGTCAGCTATATTGGTGGGGCTGGGCTTTAGAGGGAACAACCCCCCTTTAGAGAGTAGTCTGGTTTTGGGTGTTAAGTACAGTCAACTGAGGGTCAGAAAGCCAAGTTCTTTCATCAGTGGGGATAGCTAACCAGGGATTACAGAGTTCCAACTGTAACTCATCAGTCAAACACTTGACTGCGGAGCACTGATAGCCAGGTGGTTATGTCATGCACCCCATGTACAGAGGCTATATTCCTTGTCCGAAACCAAGCTCGGCCCTTTGCTGCAGGTCATCCCCTACTCTCTCCTCCCAGTAAATTAAAAAACAACAACAGCTGATTGGCGTACAGGTTACGCATCATCAGGGCAGCTGATGTAGAGATAGGAGCAGGCATTAGTCAGGAGGTCCACTCGGAAACAGGAACAAAGGGGAAACCAGGGCACTGGGCAGTGAAGTAGGGAGCCATATCGACCACATCTTCTTCTGTGGTCTCCATGACACCCTGCGAAAATGGCCAGGGAGTTTCAAAGTCTCAGGTGATTACAGGATGTAAGGGGAAATCATCAAACCTTCCACAGAAGTCATTATTAGTGCATATGATTATGTTTCAGAACAAACATTAGGTGAGGTAAAGGGGAGCTGGCTCAGGACAGACAGGTGGCGGGCTAGCCGGCTTATATTAGTTACGAGAGGAAAAGGCAAAACAGGTAGTTAGTGAACTATAACTAGCTGGAGTTATAAGGCTACAAGCTACCGGTCAAGGGGCAAACAGTATACGTTTTAGATTGTGGTGAAGACCAAGATGCCAGCTGAGGTCCAGACAAGGAGGCCAAAATGTTAGTAAATGAATTCATTTAAACCAGACAGCAGCCTTGCTAGCCTAGGCTTTAAAGTAAACACCCTCAGTGGAAGCGTGACAGCTGCAACCTGTGCCCAATACGGTCCATTTGGGTGTTTCCTATAAGCGTGCTGTCATTTGGTGAAATAAACAGGATCGAGTGATAACTTTATGGAGCTCCCATTGTGCTGTTTGATGCAAACCGTAATTGATAGGTGCTGACATGATGTGGATTGTGTGAGATGTAATGGAATGAAACTTTTCACAGTGAAGCTGCAGGTCATCTGTCTTGGATCCCCTCATTCTTTCTCTCTTTGACAGCCGTCAGCTTCTCTTTCTCTCACTTTTTTTTCCAGTCTTTTGTTAGGGAAATGAGGAGAGGTTGACCCCATTCTCATTTTGGCCGATGGAAGGCAGAAAGAAATGACGAGATAAATGAATGAAAAAACCTGATGGAGAGCGTCAATTAAAATATTTTATTTTATTTTAAGCAATGCCTCTCTTAGGTATAAAAATGTGATGCACCTTTTGAGGTTGAACATACGTTTGTTTGTTAGCATTGCAGTAAAAATGCAACACTAAAATCTCAATGGCAAGAAAGTACTTCACAAACCAATAGGCATCATCATAGTGACTAAATCCACTTAAATTGTAATTTGATTGTATTGTAATCATGGTTTTCTAGTCTTATGAACACTCAAAGCACTTTTACACTGCTTGTCAGTGTGTCACATTCACCCATTCATACACGCATATAGCAGATGATGCTACGTCAATTGACTGCCAGTTTTGAGTAAATGATAAATGGACTTGAGCTTGTATAGCGCTTTCCTAGTCTTCTGACTACTCAAAGCACTTTTACACTGCAGGTGACACCTACCCATTCAGACCCATTCACACACTGATAGTAGAGGTTGCTATGTAAAGTGTCCATCAGTATTAATCAATCACAATCATACACATTTATAACTGGGCTTAAGTGTTTTGCACAGGGACACATTGGACATGTAACCGCGGTAGCTGCGGATAGAACCCCCGCCCTTCCGATTGAATGACGACCGACTCTACCACTGAGCCACTGCACATTTGTATGCTAGCTATGCCATTGGGAGCTATATGGGATTGTGTGTTTTGCCTGTAGAACAAAGGAGTTGGGATTGAAACGCCAACCTTTCGATGGAGAGACAACCAACACTACCATTGAGCCACAGCCGCCCCATACTTCTAAAATATAGTCTTAAACCAAGTGATGTGTTGTCAGTTTTACTGAAATTTGGAGGATCAACAATTTAGAATGTTGCTAATTGTAATGTTTTTGTCTGATGTCACTGGAAATCAAGTCTATATCACCTACACTTTAAACCCTCGGCTGTCGTCTGACCCAATAAAGCCTCAGGTGCTACAGCCTGTTTTGCTTTCTGTGGAGCCTGTGGTTAATTAGTTAGTTGGTAAAGGATTTGTAAACCAAGACTACTTTTTCATTGTATTCATCATTAGTCATAGTCCAACAATATTGTCAGGTGTGAGAGTTGGTTTGAACTTGAGAGATGTTGTCAATGACTAGATTTTTAGAGACACTTATATCCAGATCCTCTTTATAGAGATTAGTCAAACCTTAATTATTGTCCAATGAAAGCCAATTAGTTCTTCTCTACCGTGTCCTTTACAGTGTTAGACAGTAACAGCACTGTAATAGCATTTTAAGTAGTTTAATCTCATTTCAGTACTATTTTGGGAGCATCACCGTTTTCTGAGTCAAATATATTTTTGGTAGCTTGGCTGTTGTATTGGTCAAGGACCTGTGACCTAACATACCACATTTTCCCACAACAATGTTGAAGCGCAATGGAGCATTCTGTCTCATTCCAAAATCAAACTATATGGATAAGTAGAAGATGCCAGCTGATACGTGGACATGCAGACCATATTTTTGTATGATGGTGACATCACTGTCTAATCCATGATACAGCGGCAGAGGCAGCGTACCAGTGTGTATGAATGGGATCAGTTACTTCTGATGGTCACTTTACATAGCAACTTCTACCATCAGTGTCCGAATGGGTAGGTGTGACCTGTGGTGTAAAAGCGCCTTCACTCGTCAGAAGACTAGAAAAACGCTATGCAAGCTCAAGTCCCTTCACCATTTACCAAATAAATGAAAATAATTTTGATAAGGCGAGCTACTTTTGCCGTTTTGTTGTAGCTTATAGCTTGCTACATTTCTCCTGGGGGTAGCCCTGGTGTAGTGACGCTTAATTTCATGTAGCGTAACTAGAAGTTTAGCACACAACATTTTACAAGGGGCTTCCCCAACACTGGTTCTTTAAAGTAAAATAAGTCTTGGAAGTGATCCTTGAGCTAGGGGTGGTTGAAGCTGTGAGGCAGCTTGGAGGTAACCGACTGTAAAATAAAAGTCCCTTAAATGTCATTTTTATCACAGATAAGGTCAAAGAGCTACAGCAACACTTGTATTATGAAGATCAACATTGTTAGACCAACGCCAAAATGCGTCGCCCTACAAGTGTTGCTGGAGCTTTTTGACCTCTTTAAGCCTTTCACTCTCCATGCACCTTGGTAGTTGGTAAAGATTTGCCAGAAAACCCTACCCTGCCTCTTCAGTGTTCGTCACCGATAACATTGTCTAAGAATGTTTTTACAGCCAATGGACAAAGCCACTCAGACCGAAACCAGAACTCAACTGATATCCAAAATCTTGTCCCTCGCCCACAGTTTCTGTATTTATAGGCATAATCTTCCTATAGAGATTACCTTTGCTTTGTAATGTATTCATGGATATACTTATTAGGTATGTGACCACTATCCCAAGACGCTGTTGTCCTCAGACCGTACCCAAAGGAATCTGAGTTTGGGGATGGTTCAACGCGTGTACATGTTTTAGTAAAAATACAATAAAACAATAAATGATAATTGAAATGAAGCTCTAGCGTAAGTTCAGTCAGGAAGACTATATAACTGCCTACACGATCGGGTCTTTCTCATTCATCTTTTTTTGCACGCTTACTCACGTTTCCGCTATCATTCTTGAGCTGTCATTTTCTGGGGCTGTCATTGGTTAATCAGCTGTCTCATCAGCGGCACTAACCAATGGCATGGTGTTCCGCCCTTATTTTCAACCTATCATCGTTCCGCTCCCCTTTTAAATATGATTCTTTCTCTCTCTTAGTTCCTTCATGCTGATGTTTCGTGCGCCCCTCCACCTCCCCAAAACACCGCCATCTCGCAGAATCATCATCCATCATTTCTCATCTCATCTGGTCTCATCAAGTCATCAGCTTCACCACCACCAGTGTCTGGACTCCATGGGGGATCTATTCTGCCGTCGCTCAGAATTGTCATTCTCCTACACATCGCCCACCCCATAGAGTCCAAGTGCCAAAAAAATATTTCTGTCAAGAAACATTTCCATATTTCACTGTAATAAATAATTTTCTTTATTCAATTGTCTCTCCTGATTCAAATGTCTTTATTATCGAACCCCCCAAGATAACTGGAGAGGACAAATACTTTACACTCTGAAATTAGAAACAGATTAACATTACAGACACAATATAAGCCATCACTTGTTCTGCTTCTTGTCTTAATTGATGGTAAATGTTGAATCCCCCAACCCCTCCTAATAGACATCATTTGAAGGTCATGAAAGAGAGTCCATGCTAGTAAGCAGATCACATCCAGTTCAAGAATTTTACAATACCAAACACAATTCACCAGAATCCACTTTCTGAAATTCTATACACATTTGTGGACAGGCCTTTTTGAATATGCTGTTGAAACAAATTCACAGAAGACAGTTCAGTTCAAGTTTTAGACACGTCTTCCCTTTACAATTCAGTCACCATCTTTGTCTTTGATACAAATACAACATTATATAAATAAGGAACTGACAGAAGAGGTAATATGTTCTCCCTCCTAATGTCCAAATGGATACCGAGCTGTATAATTTTTTAGCATTAGATGGTCCACGTTCCTGAGCTTCCTGAGTACAGCTCAGTCTGTAGCTTTCATTTCTGGGCCAGCAAAAGAGGGTTCTCAACAGACAGATCTTGAACAGTAACTGATGTGAAAAGAGAGCTCCACAAGATCAGGTGTAGTTGAACCATTACTGGTTAACAATAATAAGATCCTCCCATTGGTTGAGTGGAGTAGACACGCTCCTTGTTTCCTGCTTGTGTCCAGAATTTGGTTTAAATGTTTCCTCGCATTCATCAATGAGACTCAATTCTTCATTATTATTTGCTGCTGCGCAGTCTGTTTCAGTTAATCACAGGTCCTTTTTTTTTACATTCAGGTTGTAAAGTAGGTAGTAGATTGGTCATGCATTGATGTCCAATACAGTTCTCTTGCAACGTTTACTGCTGCTGATCACTACAGTCGTGGCCAGTACTGGGACATGTCAGCTTCACTTCCTGGAACCTGGACTGGAACTGAGACACCAGGAGAAATCAGACCTGAGGAGAGGAGAACAAAGTGGTCGTTTAAGTATGAGATAGCAGACTTAAAGATGTGTTGTAGCTTAACGCAAAGTCTATTTTAAGAGCATCACAGTTTTCTTTTGTTTCCTCCTTTGATGAAATAACTTGTTCTTGACAAAGTCTTAACAGAGAGTAATCTGGGTTACCATAGTTGGTAAGACAACAGTTTGTTGTTTGTTTGTTTTTGCCTGGTTAAATTGACAAACTAATATTTTATAATCAGTGTGTGACTTTTCAAGCTTTATAGCAGTTTGGTAAGTTAGTTATTGCATGTAAGTCATTCTTAAAAGCTGAAGATTTAGTCTCACAACCATTGATATGGAACATTTGGATAGGTTTGGTTAATAGGAGACATTGAAGAGAGGGCTAAAGGGCTTCTTTAAACTCTTTCTTGTTGCCACCTTCTTTGCTTCGTTCTTTCTTATTTTGGCCCTACTTGCTGTCTGCTAACTTCTACATAGTCTGTTTGGTTCTTTACACTTCTTGTCTGACTAGAAGAGAGGTCTGTGATGTAACATTGGTTGAACAAATAGTTACTTAATTATAATCAAGGACACTCAGCTGGTCTTCCATTTTACAATACTAATACTATTAGTACTGTTAGTACTATTTTGACCAACAGTGTACAACTAGTTCCCCACTCCATATATCTAACCATAAAAGAAGAAAAATAAGTAGGAGCTATATGCCATACAATTAATATAAAATATACAGAGTGCAGCAAGTATTTAAACAATAGTGCAGTATAAGCAAGCTTAGTCATTCATTTGTAAAGAATGGTTATGATAGCAAACATTTTTGGTCCAAACGTGATCATACAGTACAGAATTTTATGTGAAATGAGAAATAAAGAAGAAACATGGCAATTGAGGAGAAGGTTCATCGATTTAGGTTAGACCTTTACTTTCAAGGAAGCATAAAAAGAGGCCCCAGATTTTGTAGAAGTCACTGAGCTTATGTTTAAGACTAAACATTATTTTTTGATGGATGACAGTTCTTTGAGCCAGATGCTGATGTGGGGGCAAGACATGTTTTTTCCAACAGAGAGCAATGACACGTTTCATCTTCAGTTTTCTTACTACTTTCACATTTCTCCTAAAGTGTCTTAATGTTTGATGAGTCTTCATGTGTATTATTCCAATACCACTTAAAAGGAACACCATTTCAACACTAATATTGAAACCCATATGGTGCAATGTTGGAATAGTCACATCATTGACGAGCATTGTGTTTGGGTGGTAAAGTTTTGATCAAGAAATCACCACAGAAATTGATCTTCCAGCACAAGCAGAGGAGATTGTAGGGCCTGTAGAGTATCAACTTGTAACCATTTAGTTACTTCTTACCTGTTGACGACGTTGCAGAGGAGCCCATTGGCTGGCTGTTAAGGTGTGGCTGCATGTGTGGAGGAGTATACGTCTCATAACTTCTTCCGTTTATAGTGGGACTGGTGGGTAGCATGCAGGAATATGAGGTCTGACTGGATGCCTGACAACATAAAATAATAAAAGCCATCAAAACTCCAAGAATTATCCATTTGAAGCTGTCATTCAAGACAAACAGTGTTGTTAAAGTCATAAAGCCATATTAATAACCCCTTAACTCTGTTAACATTAGCCTCATTTAACCATGAGAAGCTTTCACTTGAAAATGGCCTTTGGCACAGGGAAGGCCATAGTCAACAAGCTATGAAAAATATTCTTACTTGCATAGGCAGACTGGCAGCCATACTGAAACTGGGCATGGCTGGAAGGCCGTAGCTGTTGGAAAGGACTGGATCTGATCTTCCCAACATGGATCCTGATGAGAAGGACACTAAAGACAAAGGGAGCGAGAAAAGATAAGAACATTTTCCTAGAAAATAAACATTCAATAAACACCAACCAAATATCTTGATGACACAAGCAGATACAGGGGAAAATTTGGTCAATGTCATTAATCATCATTAATTTATAGAGATAGTACCTTTTTTAAAGTAAGGTTCTATGAGAGCAAAAACAAAGTGGTTTGCTGACGGCAAAGTAATGCCCTAAAAATATAGCATACACTTAAATCTTTGTTGTTGGTTTTTCTGAAAATTAGCTAAACTACATTGTTCATTAGGCCCCAGCTGCATAGCCGTATAGCCTAGCTTCTGGCCTGCACTGGTTTTTCACTGAAGGGGCCAAGCCATTTAGCATCTCTGTTGTAATTATTAGTACTATTGACAAGTATACAACTCCACTCCACCAGTTACTCATCTCTCCAAGTAAAGGTAAATTCAGTTAAAAAGTCCTCAGAACTCTAGTTCCTAATTCATTGCTCAATGTCTTATTGGGATTCATATTGGAAAAGATTGTAGCCTGTAGCTCTAGAAGCAAATCTATATTAAATAACATCTGTGTAAAGTTCCCTTTAGGCTAAGTCTTAATGCCCAGCAACACAGTCAGCCAACATCAGGTTCAAGAGTTGATGCAATCTTTGAAGTTGAATCTGGAAAAAAGTCAACCTTGTCTCTAATTTTGCTGAAAATAAGTATTAGACTGAACAGAGAGAAAGTAGAATGAGTAACCTGATTTTTTGTGATTATGTTTATGTGAAACAGGTTCTCAATTTGCGTGTCATTTGATGTATTTGTGTAATCATAATTTAATGCTTCTCAGGCTTTTTTGCAAAAAGGAAAACACTTGTGTGTTATTCTACTGATGTGGCTTATCATACTAAGTGTGTTTGTAGGCAATATATCTGTTTTGGTTCTTTAAATGCTGTTATGTATGTTTGAATGGATGCTTTAGTGAATACTTCAGGGTCCTTTATGACTGCCCTTATCTGGTTTAATAGGTCATAAATGTGTTATAAACATATTTTAGTACATTATATGTAATAGGTAATAGAATGAGACCAAATGACAACAGCTTTTTTGATTTCTCAGATTTTTCAAATACACTGCCTTTTCAATGCAACTAACCCATCCTGACAGTCTAAAGTGTTGTCTAAAAGGCCTGATGTCACGCAATGAAAATACAGTTTTGGTGAAAAATGTATCAAAATATATAAAACCAGTCATTGTGTTCGTAATACATGCAGGTACTTGTAGTATATTCCCTGTCATTACCTGGCGTGGTAGGTTGGGGTAGAGGTTGGTAAATACTGGAGTTAAAGCTGCTGCTGATGGGAATATGGTTAGAGGAGTTGGACACCTGACGACGCTGATTTCTCAGCTTCTCCTCTCTCCTCCACTTTGCTCGTCTGTTGGAAAACCAAACCTGCACATACAAGAGGGTTTACAGTTACTCCTTAAAACCAACCAAATCTTCCACTAACTGACTTATACACCAAAAATGTATCTATATTATAGAGCCTACCTGTATTCTCGCCTCTGGGAGGTCTATTTTGTTGGCAAGGCGCTCTCGGGCAAAAACATCTGGGTAGTGAGTCCTTTCAAATTCTGAAACAAGAATACACAGTGTCATAAGATGATGAAATTATTCAATCAGATATTTGGTGGAATTAGTAACAGTTATTGTGAAGCAATGATTACCAACATCAGCTGTGACTTCTTTTGCAGTAATTCCTTTTGTCTGGTATACAGTATATATAAGATTTTAGTTGTGCAGACTGCACTTCTGTGACCAAATGCTTAGAGCTGAGCACATGTCCGTTAACCCAGTAATTATCTGCCATTCATTTTTTATTCATTTTTAATGTTGAGGTTAGTTTGAAATATGATTATCGAAACATTTAACTTCCGGTAAATTTGGTTTTGATTAACGTAATTTTTGTTACATGAATTAATTTTGCCAAACCAAGGCCTCTAACCGCGTTTGTTTCTAACTCCCAGAAGAGACAGATTGCTCTGTTGTTAATCCTTTCTTCACATCTGTATCATGACTAATGCTATGGAGGGGAGAAAAATAAAGTTCTGTTTCTACCCAGGCCACAGTAGCCAAAGAACAGTGAATGGAAGGTGCTAGCCAGGTCAATGAAGTGGCAATAGTATGGTCAGAGTACATTCATTATTACAGAGATTACAGTTGAGAATTGGGAACAGTGGTGGGTCTGTACGAATTTTGGGTGTTTGGATTTTTTTAAATTGGTTTTGAATTGTGGTCCTGGTTTCCATTTTAAGTGTTAAAGACCTAAGGAGGCCTACAAATCTGCTCTTTGACCTCATCTTCACACCAAGTCCTTTCTTGCTTCTCAGGTTGCTAGTTGGACTTAAATCAACAGGTAACATGAGGAAAAAGTCCAGAAGTCCCTTATCTCTAACTATTGGCTATGCTGGAAGCCCTAAAACACTGGCCTTCGCTTTCAGAGGCTATCTTCATTAGACGACAGCAGATTGGTTCTGGGATTGGATTGGAAGTCAGTGTTGACCTTTGGCCTTCTGTCATGTATTGGACATAGATAGTTATGTAAGTGTTGGTAAATTTGCTGACATTAATATGGATTTTCACACAAAACATTATCTTTTTTTTCTAAACCATACAACAGTAGTTTTGTCTAAACTTAACCAACGTGACCAACTGGAAAAAGTGCTCCATGCTATTATGCAGATACACATTAACCATTTACACAGGGACGACACTTAAGACAGCTCATAACTATTTATAACCCACACGTATAAATGCATGGCTATTAGTCTCTTAAGTTATCAAGGAAAAACAGGAGTTACCTTTCTCCAGTGCTTCTATCTGCTCCTGAGTGAAAGACGTTCTGTTTCTCTGCAGTTTCCTCTTCAGCTGAAGTCTCATCTGAGTCTCCTCTGAGTCTTCACCATTAGAACTCACTGAGATGGTGTTCTCCTCCCCTCCGTCTGCCTGTGGACACTCTGGAGCCAAAAAGAAGGAGGAGGGTAAATAATAACTAGAGATTAATTCAGTTTAGTAACTTGATCAGAACAGGATAGAATTTAATAAATAGATTGTCAGATAATAGAGGTTAATCAATCGTTACATCATCCGTGTTTGAATATTTTGTCGAATACATTAAATTCCAGTTCTATAAAACAATTTCAGGGAGTTTTATCAATCAGTCAATCAATCAATCATTATTTGTATAGCACCAATTCCTAACAAGTGTTATCTCACGACACTTTACAAAAGAGCATATGGGATAAGATGCAGGAAGGATTTCTCCTCTGTATTCCTCCCGTTCCTGTATCCACACTTTCTTGCCGCTAAGGTGGAGGTCGAAGCAGGCCTACATGAATGAGGACGGCGGTGGTTGTGGGGACGACACAGTTAGACGGTGGTGGCTAGGCGTCAGGGACGTCGGATCGTAGTTGTGACAGATCACCTCGCTGAAGGTTTGGGGAGCTCTGTCAACTCGAGAGCCTGGCTTCTGCTGCCGAGACAAGGCCTACTGGGCTTCTAACACACTTTTACATACATAGGTCCAACAATGTCATAATACTCATTCTGTTGAAGCGCTGGAGCTGATCCCATGGCACTCTAATTAATGGACTTGAGAAAGTCCCTGTAAGGGTAACGGTTTACTGTACTGGAAGAAGGCTTTTTTTTGGAGTGATTTTGATTTTGCCCTTTTTTATTTAGCTTTAATACTCTGCATGCAGAAAATTACAACTGAAATGTAGATGATACAGAAGTGTATATCTCTGTTCAGCTGGACAACAAAAGTCCAGTTTGGATGATTTTCAGCCACCTCAGTTATGTTAACATTTGATATCAATATGAGAATGATGGATACAAATGAGTGAGGTTTGTTTCATTCAGGTACTCATACCATTGTTTACTCACTCATATGCATTGTGTTTTTTCAAGTAGCCTTTTGTTTCTCTTCCATTTTTGGGTCAAATGATCCTTTTAGCAAATTAACAGTCTTTTTACTAATTTGTATGTAACACATTAAAATGCTACAAATATTTTGACCAATTTTATAGATGTGGCATTGTAAATATTACAAGTTAGATATTTGAATATTCTGTTACATGCTAAGTAAGACATTGCCTCCACAGGTTTATTAGCAATTACAACTATAATAATAAGCCTCTGTCTGTATTACTTCACTAAAATCCCTCCTTTGATCAGAGCAGACAATACAATATGTAAAACTGCCATCCATGAAAGTAAGCCATGCGTGTAAGTAAGAGATGAGGGATGGCACAGGGCACTTCATAGCGCAGATCTCTGAGCAGACGGGAGCTTGACTCCAGCTCCCCGTGGAACTCATGTTATTTGCGGTGCTAGCCTAATTATTCATTATCCCCAGCAGACAGAGACTGCAAAACAGAATGAAGCCATTGCTCAGTGTCACAATCAGTCAGGCAGAAAGAGACACAAATGAGTGGAGACACACCCTCTGCCTCCTCCATGCAGACACACACAGACACACACACACACATGCTGCAGACCGTGCATGACTTTGTTTCACTGTTGTAGTCCCAGGGTGCTGGAGGAGGAGCAGCAGCATATGAGTCTAGTCCATACAACAAATGGGGCCCTCAGCCACACAGTGAAAGAAGAGGACAGGAGGCTGATCATGTCAACTCCAAACAATATGTCCTCTGTTCCATATAATGGGAATCCATAGTCAATTTTAAAAGTGGACAGCTAACTGTGGCTACTACATGATGCAGATCAGCAAAGAGGGTACACACATTTGTTGTGAATCTGACGTGAGATCAAGCCAACAAAAAATCTGATTCTTACTATGAATTGGCGCTATACAAATAAAGATTGATTGATTGACTCGTAAATGTGAGTTTAGTTTCACTGTTGTAGTGGTGATAGAACTAGTAAAGCGGCAGAAGTACAAAATACCATACCATTAGAAGTGATTGTAGTCCCAGTGTACCAGCCTGAGCGTCCTCCCCAGGTGCTTTGTCCATTGAGCATCTTGAGTTTGTCAAACATCCCTTCAGTGCCCACTGTGCCCATTTGCTGCTTGTCACAGGCGAGGTTCCTGAGCACACGATTAATGGAAGAAACCTGGCGATAAACACAACAACATGATTAATTCTCTGGAAACATAAGCCTTTGGTTGAAAGCATCAAAGAAAGCTGGTATTGTCTAAACCCAATCAAAGCATTAATGACCCAAAGTCAACCTTCATCCAGCTTCATTGTGTCTATTTCAAGAACCACTTATGAGATTTAATGAGATCTGTTACTTCCACATCACTGGGTTGCTTTTAAAAACACTACCCGGTGACACAAACCAACAAACCAATAGAGGCCGGGGTAAGCCTTCATCATTCATATTCTGTGAGGTAAAAATTACATTCAGTCAGTGGAGTTAATGGCTTTGACTGGAAAGCAAATGGGTGGTTCAAACATGTTCTATTTCTCTCATTATTATTATTTTTTTAAAGTTGAAGTAATGATCTGAGCCTCTCAATGTCAAAGCAGGCACTACTTTTAGTGAATGCAATCCACCAGAGGAGTCTTGGAACTTTATATTTGTTATTCATTTCAGCCAAAGCAGAAAAGTACCATGATTACCCAATATAAAGCCCTGTTTCCACCAAGCTGAGTACAGTTTGGTATAGTAAACCAAATAGTCAAATAGTTTGTTTCTGTGCTAAAGATTGACTTTACCAAAATGAGAACGAGTTCACCATAACACAACATCACCAACAAACAAACTTGTCAAGGAATTGATAGATCACCAACTCCTGTGATCTGTCACTGACTTCTGGTTGCCTTAAAAGCAGTCAGGTTAATTTGAGCACAGTTCGGTACTGTTTATATTTTAAGTATACAGCAGTTCAGCATAATCTGGTATTTTCCAATTACCTGAAAACTTGATAGTACCAATTGTAAAGGTTGGTATGCTTTTTAGAGCTGCAGTTACCTGTTCTATCTACATCAGGCCACATCTGCTAGGCAAGCCGACCATCAAGGGTTTTGACTATCCTCTCCTACATAAACCTCTTACAGACATGAGTTGGCAAAAGAGCAAAGGGCCTTACACTGGGTATATTGTCGTTGGTGCAGACTCCTTCAGCCAGCAGTCGATCTCTGATCTCCCAGGCAAAAATGGAAGGACACTCTCTCTTGTAGTGAGCAATCTTTCCCACCACCTCTGCGGTGGCCACCCTGGGTTTACTCCCACCTATGGCTCGAGGACGGATTGAACCGGTCTCGTAGTATCTGCCCAGGATCTTGCTCACACAACCGTTAGACACCTAGATGTAAAACATGACACATATGAAACATTAATGGGGCTAGGTGGGAAAATATTGGCTTTCAAATGGATTCTCTTTGGTGAATGATTGTAGCGATGGTCCAAAGGTAATTCAAACTTTGGTTGCATAAAAGATTCTGTTGCTTCAGAGAAAGTTATGCTACTGTCTGAGCTGAAGATTTAAAACTTTGAAATGAAAAAAATCAGATGGTAAGGATTAACTGCTTTAGCTGCAAGATAAAATAAAATGTTGCTCCACGTAGGTAATATAGTTCCCAGTTTTCGAAGAAGTGAATGGAATAAAAAAGACAAAAGCTCTGGTTCCTCGCATCAATCATCCCCCATCCCCACTCCCAGCATTATTTATCGATAACTTTCATTCAACGCATAGCTATTAAAGGATATTTCTAATAAAGAATTACTATCAAATGCTGAACAAAGGTCCTCTACCAACCTCCACCCCATTATGAACGCATATCATTTAAAACCCACCATTCACCTGAGTTGTAATTTCACAGCATTGGAGAAACATCAAACCTCAAAGTATAAAATCTTTCAGTAATATAGGCTTTGTGTAGACTTATAACCAGGTTTACATCAGAATAACGACTTTACCTGTAGTATTCTGGATATATCACAGGGTCGAGCTCCACTATGTGCCAGCTCTACTATTTTCTGCCTGGTAGAGTCAGGTAAAGGTCTTCCATTCACAAACACACCTCCAAGCTGGTTAACTCCACTGTGACCTACACAAACACACATAGAAAGCATTAAGACATTTTTTTTTGCACATGGTTTTTTTGATCTGTATCAGCTGAACAATCACTTCAACATCACTAAGTTTGGCGCAGATTTGAGCTGTAGTGGAAAAAAATACATCTAAATACAATGCACTAAAAAGCCAAACTGATCAGGCACATGCAGGAAAAGAAGTGCAAGGCCAGCAGGGAACACAGGTTTAAGCTGATTAGGAGAAATGCAGGTAAAGTGCAGTTTCGTATGGTGTGGATGCTTGTTTTATTTCTACAACACAAGTAAGACTTTTGGAATACGAATCTGGGATATCTGGTTTCTTTCGACCTATACTCTCAAGCCAGTTCATGAAAAAGTGACTATAATATATTTCACATAGATGCTCAGGATGAACATGTATTTTTCAAGGAGGTCCCTCAAGATTATGGGGAAATATTGGACCCTAAATTAGTTCTTCGTTCTTTGAATAAAATATAAGGAAATGTTCATTATTGATATAACATGTGACAGTTAATATAATTCAGTTTTCTTACTTTTGGTCTAAAACAAGAATCTAAGTGGTTTTAAGACCTGTGTTTGCTTGCCTCATTAATGCCTCTGACAAATCGTAGCTCCTTTTCTGACTCTCTTAATAATGCCATCTGCCTTTTTTTAAATACTATTGTTAATGCATGCACAGTTCTAGTTCGAACACATTTTTAAATTCATGCTTGCTGACACAAATACTTAAATTTGTTAACAAATCTGTTATTCATAACTAATTCAAAAGCTGCCTTGACCCTTCTGTTGAAATGCTTTGCCAATGATGGAGTGCAAAAAAAAAACTGAAGTTCCTCAAGTGTCCACTAGAGGCTTGCTGCAATGCCCTGTTGGTCACATACAGAACCATTTAAATTATTAAGGGGAGTGACTGACTGATTGGAGCTCCAGATCTTGACCAGGTCAGCTTCATAAACCAGTGGGTGACGTTACTGTTACTATGTCCATGTTTTGATCTATGCGTCGACCACAGGTTTCTGCTGAAGACACTGAAGCATCATTATAAATAACGTTTTACTGGTTATATCAAACACGTAAAATTTGATACGTTTGCCTTTTTCTTGAATAAGACCTCCAACATTACTCTTGAATATATATCTTTTTTTAAACAATATAATCTACAGTCAAACAGCCAAGAACACAAGTGATTTGTTTATCCCCAAACTTCAACTAAGATCAATTAAATATCTTGGATATAAAGAGGAGTAAATATCAACTTTTTTTATTTTATCACCCTTAAGTTTAGTAGCAGTAGGTTAGATGAGTGGATATAGTATCAAATCTTTCTGATATCTAAACCTTCACATTTCATTTCACAATCATAAGCACATGCACAGTGCTGAAAAACACTGATATGACAGATTGCTGCTGGGCAGTAACACTGATATATGGGCAACAAAAAGCAAATTTAAGCATTTCAGCCAAACTCCAGCTTCTAGGGAAAGGTTTTTGTTTAAAGCTTTAACTGTTCTGTCTCTCCTGATCAACATGTTGCACGTCAGCCATGTTTCTCTAACCAGCAGCAGCAGACAGCAGTCTGTGCTGTGACACTGTCCAGGTTAAGTAGGGATTTACTGAATCAATCGTCTATTGTCACTTAATGGCTCTGTGGGGGAAAGCATATTGCAGATTTATAAACCTCTCAACAGGGCATTAATAAATCATTCAACCAGCCAACACAAACATGAACACACACACACTCGCGTGCACACACACACACACCCACACCCACACCCGCACCCATCGAAAAGTTGAACCATTTTACTGACATGACAAGTCATGTTCTTTACTTTTTCATAAATTAACTGATGCACTGTATTTGATCAATAATCTTGGTGCCCACATTTGGCTCAAGCACCAAAACTACTTGATAAGGAAACAGTCGAGTTCTTCAGGAATATCAAACGTCAACATGTACTTCTGGTTTCTTATGAACAAGCCGATGTCTCCAGAAGGAGCTCTCCAGCAGAAAGTCCTGAGTGTTCAAGGCTGCAGGGCTAGAAAGTTTTTACCACCATCATCCAATGCTGTTGTGCTAATTGACTGTGAAAGATTTATAGTCAGAAATACAAAGATATACAACACTTAAAAAAGAGCATTAGCCTCAATTGTGGTTGGCTTTGCATAACGGTGGAAAACTTCAGCCATAATTTTTCCAGTGAAAACGTTTCTCAGTATTCTTTTGGTGTTTGGTTTGGTTTGATTAGAGGGACGAAACAATTTTGTATGGTTTACAAAGAGATCATGGTTTTGATCAAAAGTTGGAAGGAACTAGAATCAAAGGGATTTTGATTGTTTAACCAAAAAGGTCACAACACTATAACACATGACGAATGAAAGCGTGTTGACTGACTGACTTCTGAGCGTTATGTTGAGTTTTTTTCATTGTCGAAAATTGGTTTGAGCGGTATTATAACTAGTAAATAGTTTTATTTTTTATTGATTAATTGTCAGATCATGTATATTGAGTCTTTTTTGTTTCTATTGCGTGTGTAATTTCATAAAAGTGTTCTAAAATGGATGGGAAATGAAATTCATATAACAGTATGATAGGCAATATTACAAGCAATGCAACTTGAAGGTAACAAGGTTATCTATTCCCTGATAGTCTTTAAAGCTGAAAGACACTTTAAATTATTGCTTGACAAAAGGATTTGTTTATTAACTTTAAGAAGAGAAGAGCCTGGCTGGGGATTTTTATTTAGATCCTCACAACAGATTCTGACCCACCTTCTCTTCCTTTATTGCAAGAGAACTACTCCAGTGGAAAAACAGACGGATGACATATATATTCCACTACAGCTCACACTATTAGAGCTTTGAACTTCTCTTCTGGTTAATTAAATTATAGTCGGAGTCACGGCCCTGCAGAAACTGTGGACTTTAGGTGGGCTGGTGGATTACTTTACCCCCTAACTCTCCGTCACGCTGCCTCACATCATGTTTACTTGGTGTTTTGGGGTTGATGGTTGTGCCGTAGAAATGTTAATCACAGTGTCATTTCCCAAAGGAGCACACCCGGGCTTCCCTCCGCTGACACTCAATAATAGACAGACATATGGAGTCAATTTGGCTGTGGTCCCTTTGTGACACACACACACACACACACACACACACACAACACACACACACACACACACACACACACACACACACACACACACACACACACACACACACACACACACACACACACACACACACACACAGCATATGAGCCTCTGGGAAGAGCAGCTGAGCACTTTTACAATGAACCAGGTTTAACCATGTACTGAAATCAGTGATACATTATCCAAATGGAAGGACATTTTAAACCTGTTTTTGTTGTAACACTCTGTGACTTAAAACGTCATTTAAATGCAGAACATATACAATACAGCCCTTGTTTAAATATGATTATTGGAATCTATAATCTCTTAATTTAGGAACTGTAACACTCATTAGAAGGTGGGCCTTGAGTGGAAACAAGCAGCAGTCGAGTGTCAAAGACAAAGGTTTTGTTTGCATTTGGTATGATCATGCATCACCGCTAGTGTTACTGCCAACAGTGACACATCTGACCAACAGAAGAAAGGACACCACCTCATCCTCTTTCATTTGGTAAACAACAAACTGTTGATCAAAGCTAACACTTATAGACATAAGGTATTCCTCTACTGAGTCTATGCTGATTTAATTTGTCCCTGTATCTGTTCAACAAGTGTAATCCAAAGTCCCTTTGGGCTGAAAGCATTGAGCAATGTGTGACATCCCATGTGATAGCTTGAGCACAGACTTCATTAAGAAAACAGAAAAAGAGCCTACACACAGAAGACTAGAGGAACACTGGAGACATCAACTGTCAGTCAACACCAAATCAAAACCTCAACCGCGTCTGCTGGAAAGACACAAGAGGTCATAAAATATTCAAAGGGCGGCTGGAGATGTGTAGCTTCAGAACATAACCTCTCTATGCATATGATGACACAATCACTCACCTGCTCACATGCACAGAGCTGGCGAGATGCTGAACAGAATGAAGCGAGCTGATTGAACCCACTTTCATTTCAATCAATTCCTAATGTAACCTGCTCTTCAATTCACTAATGATCTTAGCAAAATGAATATTGGTTCACCTTTAGCCATTCCCCAACAACCTCCAGCTGCTCCATTTTCACAATTTGGAATTAGAATTGATTGGAGTGCAGGTGGTGTGATGATATATTTAACCTGATGCTGCAGAACAACAAACAGCAGCATCATTTACTAATATTCAGGGTGAGATGGGTGCGAGGGGTAGAAGCAGATATAGGAGGGGTCGATTTTTAGAGGGGGGTAGTAATGTTGTGGGGTTGATACTGAGCAGAAAAAGGAGAGGCAGGACAATGAAAAAAAAGCAAAAAGACACATAAGAGAGAAGAAATTCACACACCTTCACTGCAGAGAGCGTGGACCTCTTGTCCCGCAGTAAGAAAGAAGAAAGCAGGTGGGGTTCAATGTCAGTTCCACCCACTGAGCGTATGCAGCACCAATGTTACAAATTACAATTAAACGAATGATGGGTGCAAAAAGTTTTTAAATTGCTCCAGTTGATTTCTCAAAGCTGCAGCACTAAAATACTGCCAAGGATGTAATCACTTGGGGCAAAAGCAACTGACCAAGTTCTTGTTCCTGTTTCGACCAGGCTCAGATTTTTATTCTAAGTGTCTGACAACTTTACAGAAAGGATCCCTACAGAGATCGACCTTTTGTCAAAGGATAAGAAGCCCCCCCCCACCCCAAACCCCATTCAAAAAAATCAGACCCAAGTAGTTGCTTGTAATTTGTCCCTTTTGTTATTTGGACCCCAAGGAATTTAACCTATGTAGCACAGTAAGGATGTAACAATACCTCGCCAAATACAATTAAAAATCATTACCAATATGTACAATTCAAAACGATGGGCCCAAAAAAAAAAATTCCAATACTTCAAAGA